TCATTGATGTCGAACGAATTTTTCGTCCAGCAGCTGCTTCCTTGATTAATATGACTTTTTCTAGACTTCTTCTACTGCTAAAGTTTCTTCTAAACAGACAAATTTGGCTCATATATAGTATTCTGAATGGTAAAAAGCCAGTAAAGGATTATCAATGTTGCAAACCTTTTCGCGGCAGGTCTATTTCCACATTGCAACGTTTTATTTTACAATGTTAAAAGCTCTGATAAAATTACTATCCAGTCACAGACAGAATTTTTCCGCCAGCTCAGACTGCACTTGTTATTTGTCACGGGTCTTTGTTATCAAAATAGGTTTAGTCATTTTGCTGTCAAACTTTTTTGAGATATGGCCATTGGATGGCCAGTGTCTGTCAAATACTTGTTTAACCTATCTGCTAATCATGAACGACTGGCCGTCAACAGGCCAAAAAAGTGATGATTAACTTTACATTGGCCGACTGTTGCGGGTTTTGTAGATTTCCTTGAAAGTGCTACGTGAGCAAAGGTTTAACGCTCTGTTTTGACGCAAAATTGTGGTTCTAGGTTTTTCTTGTTGGAGCATCCGGCAGTTTTAGGTCTTCAACCCCACGCGTTCTTAATTTGTTGTGTAAAGGGATCAAACTTGTTATCTCCGAGTTGCAAAAGTTATTCCAAAACACCCTAAAAAAGTTCGATAGTGCCGCATTCAGGGTCGAAGGTTAGACAAGTCCGATGAGCAGCTAGCTAGCTAGCTAGATAACTAGCTAATAGACACAACAAAACAGAATTAAGTAGTCACACAACTTTTATTCGCTAGAAGTAGTTTCGGGGGGCAAGATTAGCAACATGAGCGACAAGAGGCTCTCTTCGGGAAGAAAAAACCAGTCGCGGGCGGGCGTGCGAAAGCATGACGTCGTGTTGAAACCGCTTCCTTGAAAACCATTCCCTGATATTGAAATCAAGATACACCTAATTTCTGGAGTAATTGCATTTGATTTGATCGTTCGAAGCGGCGTATCGATGTACTAATCAATTCTGAGTGTCATTTGACGTGGACGCGAGACAGCATTAACTCTATTAGGTGACGTGATGGATAAAAAGCAAACTTGGACAGTGTCATAACAAAAAAAAAAAACACCAAATTTTGGATTTACAATATTTTATGTGAAGCAACATTTTGAACAATAGGTAGGTTAATAAGTGTTAGCTCTTCAATTATGAAAGAAGACATTGTTTCTGTATAATTGGATGGACGATGAACTTCACCCGTTGCAGTAGATCTGTTGCGTACCGTCTGCGCTTTCTAGAACAGCCGATCATTATATTAATTATCCAAATATTATTGCACTATGATTAAATGCTATAAAAATTAAAATATAAGCGAGCATTTGGCAACTTAAATGTCCAATCTAACACGTCTAATATTTAGCTCTAGCATAATTACGTATTACTCGTTATTTTGTTGTTAGATTAGCATGTAACGTATTATAGCATGAAAATAGTTGTAACTGATGGAAAAGTTCACCCTTAAATAACTAAGTTAACACGAGAAGAACATTATCGGCATATGTATGATAAGCGGTTACGCACGGTAATGGCAGCTGTAACAGTAATAAGATGAAAAATTCTATGAGTGATTAAGCCTCTTTGACAGACATGGCGCCATCACAGTTGAGCCAGCTGTTTATAAAAAAAAAAATTTCTCCCTTATGTATTTTTCCTACAACTCGAAACATCCTGTTTCATCATCTCGACCAGATAAAGCTAACAAGATATCTTTTCTTTTTTCGTAAGCAGTAGAATTCAGCAAATCAGACGCTACGATGTTATCCGTTCACTTCAGCGTTTGCGCGACCTCCGCGAAGTCGTTAATTTTGACAAATTTGTGGGCGAAAAGTATGATCCCGACACGATACGAAGACAAAAAAAGGAAAAGTGAAGGACCTTCGTTTATGACGAATCTTCGATAGAAATAATCAAACGCACGAGAAACGGCCCACTAACGACCTGAGGCTGCGTAGTCGGCCAGTACAGCTCACAGGACAGGGTCGTATGCTCGAAACCTACCGGTAATTGAACAACCACAAGGGTACCGATAGCTAAAAGTGAGCAAACTTTTCGCCAAGGAAAAGCTTGTAGGGATTCTCTTTAACAACATCAAATGTTTGTTTTTTAATGGCAAAAACTGTATTATTTTGTAAGCGAATTGACGATAAAACGGTAACGTGGAGCGACGAGAAACTTTTCTGTGACTAAAGGGGTTAATTATTTGACCTCATAGGATGCATTTACGTAGATGCGATGCATAAGTGAGGCAATATCTCGATGCTGGTTTATTGAACGTAGTGTGCCAAGGATCTTTACCTTTTTTGTTTATGAATGTTAGATGCGTTGTTTTTGTACATAATAAATTTTTCCTCGATCACCTAGTTTCATATCGGACATCTGTTCATACGTACTATATAAAAAAAAAAATGAAAATATTGTTTATCTTTCCCGATTTTAATATTTATATCGTAAAAAAATGCTTTCGTTTTCTAAGTCCAGTCCTTAAACCGTTAGATCTTATTTTGGGCGGCTAACTCCCAGCGCAACATGAACTGTGTCTTTGCCTGAATTCAAACCTAGACCACGACCTGCGCACTGTAGTATAGTAGATATAGCGTAACCAATGTCAGTATAAAATTCAACATTTTTTTTTGTAGGAGACTAAACATACGAGTGTTGGTTCGAATGCATTACGTAGACCCTTACGTCATTTCTTCCCAGTACTGACGTAAAACAATATGTGTATGACGTGGCTAAAAGAGACTACTGGTTACCAATCTAATTTCTGAAGCGTAAACGCCAGCTGAAAGGACACGGAAATGTCAACATATATAATATAGATGATTAAGGTAAAGCCGTCTTGTCGTTGACGGTTTGCTACGTATGAATTGCCGTTGCTGGCACTAAAACGGTACAAAAAAGAATTGTCTGGCTCTCTCAACATTCGCAACATGGTCCTCCCTGCACAAAACCTATTTAACCGAAGTGACACATACGGAAGATCTTATTGTTTGTTTTTATCTTATATATTTATTACGATGGTTGACTGTTGACCTGTCTATGCGTCTGTGTGTACAAAACGCTTTCCATGTCTTTAAATCGTTTTTTTGTGTACGCTAATGGCACAATTTTAATCCACACTCTACTAACACGCGATCGCCGTTGGACTCCTGTTTCAGGAGCGGGAGGGAGGCTCGATTACTTAACCATCCAGTAATCAAAAACAACGTAGGGATTCAGATAGGGGAATACTGATTCCGTTTAACCTACATGCATCTGCGTGCCGTTTATGGCCTACAGTGCTCAATTACGTGGCGACAGTCTGACTTCGCAGTACCATAATGTATCTGGATTGCGAGCCGTCATCGCTGATGTGGAATAGATACAATGGAAAGAAGATGCACGGTGGAAGAAGATACTATTAGATGCCCAGTAACCATGCTAGAACTGTTACTATTGTAAGGCTGTTTCAACAGCGCTAGCATTCATTGCACGGAACTACGTCACATGGACTACTCAGCTGAAAGGACAACGTGACTATATGGCCTCTTCAACTGTTCTGTTTTTGTATATATAGTGTGTGCGCGCGAAGGCCTTTCTACCATTCTGTCGGTGAGCCTTTACAGGTACCAATGACCATACTTAATATGTGCCCAAGAGCACGTAGTTGTCATGGAAGCTTCATTAGCGCCGCTTGTTCAGTTGGCCAATACAAAGTATAACCACGACAGGATCGACTGTAACAAAAACATCAAATGCTCCCTGTCTCTTGAGTTTTTTTTTGCAAATATATACAATGCATACACGCATATCAATGGCTAATGCTTGTATACTTAATGCGTGTTCGCACAGCGTCTGGGACCCACCATATCGATACCATTACCTTTAGGCTTCTGCAGTCTCCTTTAGAAGCGGGTGAAGACGCGGTGCTCGCCTGAAACCAACTCGACCAGCTCCGGCGAATTTCGCCAACGTCTCCTACCTCTCGCTGCCGATTGGTCCGTCTACAAGTTAGTTACGTTAGTGCTAGTTGCAACTCGACCCTGTCTTTGTTTGAGTTTGGGCCGTTGACTTTACTAGAAGCAAATAGTTGGATTGTTGACGCGGGACAGCGGCTGACCTTAGAGTAGACCTCACTCATCCTGTCTGCATACCTCTTTCATGGGGCAGCTAAGGAGCGGCCATTACCTCGCTGCTTTTCAGCCTTTCATTGTCGCTACTGGCCATCACTATCAAGCTTGTTGGAGCTTCCGCCTTGCCTTACTGTTATTATGAGTGCTATGTCTTTGTATAGCAAAACGATGCAAAGGGCTTTTGAGGTCCGGATACCCCGACGGCCGGTGGGTCATTTTTGCCCAGTTTTGCAAATTGATGAAGCGGAGCACCACCCAGGTAATGCTATCTATTAATGTGTAGCCATGCCGGGGCTACGAATACACACGTGATCGGTTAGCAAATCGATACCTGGTGCTTATGCTCAACTACTAGTAACGTTTGGTGAGACAAGGACATCATATTGAAAATTAAATGATAATTGATTTGTGAGACTTCAACAAAACCTGTTTGCGGGATGATCGTACTATACGTCGATGGTGCAGACTGTTTTTATATGCCTTATACTATTCGACGAAGAAAAGTCGTGGAAGGTAATTTGGTACGTTTTTATACTGTATATATAAATGTAGGTTTTGTTCTTTACATTATTACGTTATGAAACGTTAATAGTGCTAACTACAAAAGTAGATTACTCTTAACTTTTGTTTGGTGGATTTAAAAAATTATACACTTTCCAAAAAGCCAAAATGCTTTTTGTGAATTTTATCCATGTCAACAATAGGGAGGATCGGTTTACTTGAGCCTTTCTTTTTGTCTGTAAACTATATTTTGATTTACCTGCATAGACAGGAAAATTTGTCTAGCTGTCACATTTCCTTGAAGTGTCTTTAGACAAACGCATACTAGATAGCTACAACGCTGAGAGTGCCACAAGGAAGCATAGCCAGATTTTAATTTTTGTTGCCGGAAGTTTGCATTGTCATTCACACGCCTGCAGATATAACATATAATTGAAACAATTGAAAAATAGGTAATGAAGTATATACAACTCTTTGAAGATGTGGTAAATTTTCTATTACTTCTCCTATGCATCTGAAAAATTGTTGAAAAGGTCAAATGATATCTAATGTTCCATCGCGCATAGCAGCCATACAATGTCAACGATTGCACCCCTATTTTGTTCCATTTAAGAACTGATTTCTGTAATCATCGTTTCGGGCAAAATGTAGAGCCGTTAATGCAACACCTTGGCTCACATTTGCTACCGACAACCTATTCCTGTTTAGTGCAGTAACAAGATTCTGTGGGCATGTTCATGGGTTGTGAACGCAAACACCCATTACGTATTCGGTTCGTTTTTCTCTATTATTAGTACGCTGGAATTATTAGATATATTAACATAATTCTCACAATTTTTCCGTATTATATTTCGTCCGCGGATTTGTTCGACGCCGCAGCAATGAGCAGTCTGTTACATGCCGTTATGGCCCCGTGTTTGGATGTCGTCTTTGCTGTTGGTAGTTCCGGTGACGTGAAGGCCATTGTTGATTACCACGAGGGGCGGTGTCGGTACGTTGCGATTGTAGAAGCCGCAGACTATACGTATTACCTGCAAGGGAATTTTTGTTTTTTCAAAATATTTTGAATTTCAAAATAATATCAAATCACAACAGTGGCAACACCGACAAAAAGCTGTTAGGGGTGGCGTAGTTTACAGTTCTTCTGATAGCGCCAGAACTTGTAACTGAATTAGGCTGCAAAGCACGGATTGTGTGCGGCTACTGGGAAAACGATGAAAAGTCTAGCTGGGCATTTGTCGAAAATTATTTAAATAATGGGTTATTTTTTGAAATTTTTGGGCCATTTTGTTTCGTCAACTAAAAATCTGGCGGAGATAAACTAATTGTGTGATTCATTACTACATGATGAGGCCGTCACACATTATATTATTATCAAAAAAATTCAAAAAACTCAGTGCTTCCATCGCATTTAGTTGGCTTGTTTGAAACCTCGAAATTGACTAGTAAAAAAAAAAAAAAGCTTACAGGTCTAAGTAGCTTCCATGACGAAATGCCACCAGGTCAGTCCAGTTAATATTATTATTTACTTAAGCATGGTATTATAACAATGACAAGGTGCACATTTAGAATGCATCGCTAAAAATCCATACAGCCCCAACTGTCGCATGTACATTGTAATGTTTGCAGAAACTGGCTTTACAACGTTATTAAGTGAAAAAAACAACAATAACAAGTGCTTTCTTTACCGCAGTTGGTAGGGATGGTAGACTATGTTCTCACCCAATAAAAGAGTCCATCACACTTCAGCAAGATGATGACGACGACAACAAAAGCTCTCAGCAATTCATCGTGACGATCTCATTGGAAAGATTTCAAAAACGTATGGACACATTCTACAGAAATTAAACTTATAGTACTGCTACGCTAAAGTTCGATAGTAATTACATTCAATCATATGCTACCGATGCTGGAGATGATGAGCGGCACAGTCGATAAGAAAAATGTATAGGTAGAAGTCATTTCTACGCGTATAAAATGATGCATGTTTAAACGAATGTTAGTCCAAGAGAAAAAGTTTTCTTTACGACATTGCCAGACACCATTTCTAATAGCGAGATAAAAATACATTTAAGAACAAAAACATTAAACTCTATGCTTTGTTAGATAAATAGACCCCCCCCCCCCCCCTATAAAGTGTTTTCCACTATTATACGTGTGATTGCTTGTCGATTTGTGCATGATTACAATGGCTTTTAGAGTTTCGAAGATCAATCGGCTTTTTCATGGAGATATTTACTTAGTTAAGACAGTTTTCTGAGATATTCGAAATTGCCATGCGCCCTTTTAGATAAAGTGTAAACTAGACCTTCCCGATGGGTCTCAGCCCATTTTATTCAAACTTTTTCAGTTACGCATAAAATTTGAACCGATGCACGGAAACTTAAGTTAGGTTCGAGCCACTTCTCTTTTTGAGTAAAATTATAGCTACTAACATGGTAGTCGTCGGTGCAAATTTGCTATGGCTATTGACGCCGGCACATCCCTCAAGCCTGTGACTGTGTGCAAGTTAATTAGATCAACATCGCTCCCCTAACGCGCCCGAATCAGACTAAAAACAGGTACGTTCAAAATGATGTGTGCGCGTCTCTAGAATTATATGTACAAACAGGAAATGGCAAATTTCTTATTACCGCCTAGGGCGGAGGATGTAGATCGCTACGAGGACTGAAATAAAAGCACAAGCTATCCGAAGACAAGAGTGTCTCGGGCTGTTTTTGTTAGTCTTCATTTCTACATAACAATAGCATGGTGGACTGGTGCGTCGGTAAGCAGAACCAACTCACAAGACGCCTAAACGAAAAACTTCTTGTCTAGATGTACCAATAACGCAGGCTTATGCCTGCGTGCGCTAAATAAGTCTACGTGCTGAGTTGTCCTTATAATGTATGTCTAGAAGCTAAGAAACCTAACGTTTTGTTACTCTGTTTCATTTGCCTCTAAAAATATCACCCTAGGTCCTGAAGATCCTCGGTGAATCGTTTGCAGCGGCGCGCTTTCTAGTACCACAGCATAACATTACGTTCCGCACGGTTTGTTTGCGTTCGCATCGGGCATCGAGTGCCATAAACCTTGTGGTTTTGCATTGCTGCCTACAGCATCTGCTTGCAGAGCTCGCGTCGTTCAGATCATTTGAAACGAAAGACACAAAACGAAAGAGAAATCCCTGTAGCGCCACCCGCGCTGCCAGTCCTCTCCTCTCGTCGACTCACCTTTTGTTCAGTGGCGTTGCAAAACAAGAGAAAAAAAGAGACAAGCAAACGCAGGTCTATCAGATTCACGGGCATCGACTTCGTTTGCCAGCAGTTTCGGGTCCTGAAGGCCAACGATCAAAAACCATCGGAAGCTACTCATTCAGTCGGCATTGCTCTTGACAAAACAAATAATAACAAGTATTTCTTTTTGCGTCTTTGTCACAGTGTTTTTCGTTTACTTGGATAGGGTCAGTTGACTTGTTTGTGTAGTCACAGCGAAGCAAGCGAGAGTCCAATTCCTGTTCTTTTAGTGGGCTCCATTAAAACATGCGTCTATTTTCTAGTCTCGTAAAACGTTAGAGTCAAGTATTCTAAGGATTTTTGTAATCCTCTCTATAAACATAAATACAACTAGATCTTGCTTTAATTTTTTTTTGCCAACGCTCATTGGCTGAGGTATTGAGAAAAATTTTGGCGGGCTGCTTTTAAAATAACCATGCGTCGTTTTCGGTTGATATAGAGATATATGATTTTTCTCACTCTTATTAATAATTGTCAAAATGTTTTTGAGATACTAAGCCATCATCTATAAAACTACAACGATTGATCCTTTTTTCAAAAAATTTTTTGGCTTCTTACACATCTTCGGCTATTTCTGTCTTTTCGAATATCTCAAACCTTTAGGACCTATACCTGCTGTCAGTGCAAAATTTAGGTCAGTGGATTATTTGTGTAGCGTATTTGAGTAAAATTACAACAAGTCTTGTTTCATCACTCGTACTCGTAGTTGATAATATATAATATCTTAAAGTTAATTTGGGAATTTCTAGAATAATTTTGTTTAAATTACCTGTGAGACGTTTAGCTTAGGACGCAAAGCCGTGATCAAAAAGAATAGCAGTTATAGCTCACTCTATCCCACCACATGAACATTTGACCAAATGCGTTTTCATATAGATGCAGCTCATGTAGCGAGTTTTCATTTATATGAAATACTCAGATGTATATAATTCGATTGTTGTTTTAGTAAAGTATTAAATCATTGGCTTCCTCAAGAGGCTTCAACTGCAAACTTCAGAAGCTCGTCCAGTATCTTCCAATGATTCTGTTACACAGATAAACCCTTCATAGCTCCAGATTATAGTCCAAATTATTGGCTAGCCCTGGGCGGTACATAAAACAAGTACCAGATGCGTGACCTAGGCGTTTCCTACAACCACACAGTATCGAGCCTATATAATTCATTATAGGGAATATGGAACTGGAAAATTAAACAACAGCCAGTAGCAGTTTTTCGAAATAAGCACTGGTAAGCTAAGGCCTATAAGTAATACACAGCTCTACTTCTTCTTATATATATATATATATATATATACATACTAATTTAACTAAATATTCTGATTACTTAGAAGCTGAGCAGAGTATCGTAATTTGCATGCCTACTTTAAGGGATCGGATCAACTTTCCTTCAAGCCACTTCAGCAACAGTTTTTTGAAAATGGGTAGTTTGATATGTCTTCATTATTCAATCGAACGCAACAGGCCACTACTTTGACCTATAATCATACCATTTTTCTACTACACACCCCATCCAATATCGTCGGTCGTGATAGATCTATTTACGGATATGCACACTTCATGAAGTTCATCTGCCGCCGGCGATTCGCGCCGTCGACACTGCCGTTGTTATTATTGCGGTTGGGTTTAAGCAATGTTCAATGTCATATTTCGTTTCAGCCTTTTCTTTGATGGATATGCGTTGGCGTTCTTGTGACGCTTGTTAAACAGGGTCGACGCCGGCTACACCGTAGCTACGTTGGCAACACGAACCCGTTGAGAACTCGAATCACCCTTACGACTTCGTTCGTTTGGCGTTCATCGTTCAGCAGCATTCAGCGTCGTCTTCGCTCTTAACCGACCGACACGTCCAAACGCTATCGCTGTTAATATGCTGCTACCCGGCCGATGAGCGGAGTGAGTAAATAGCATACGAAAAAATAACAAAGAGAGAAAAGGGTAACGACGAACACCAGCGTTTCGTAACCCCCTATTCCCTCCTTCGCGGCTACTCTCTGGTAAAGACGAAATATAAGGAATGGGTCTCTCGTTTCGTGACGGTTTACAGCGTGCTCAGTCACCTGAAGCCGCTTGTCTGTCCGTCTGTCTGTCTGTCTGCCTGCCTGCCTGCCTGCCACTGAACTCCCGTCAGAAACTCAGAGAAAGCAAGCACTCGGCGGATACGACGGGTTGCTAGTATTTGAAAAATATGAGCATGGACTACAGAAATAGTCGAGCGGACAACGCCAAGAATATTACCGCTAGCAGCTTCATTAGAGTCATCCGTTTGAATTGTTGAGCTGCTGTCTGCTAGGGGCTAGACGACTGCTTCAACATCGTCGACAACAGTAAATGACAACAACAGTCGCCCCCTGGTCATTGCAACGGAATTAGCTGAAACAGCTTTAGAACGACTGTGAGTAAACTCTTGATTGCTTCCAATGTTAGCGTAGCGATTCACATTACGGTATGTCGGAGTTTCATTATCAAAGCAGAACGACGACGTCCTTCTGTCGCTAATACTGCTAAACGAAAGAGGATCAAAAGCTGCTGGAGTCTGATGTCTGAAATTCGCTGCGGACAACACTTGAGAAAATGAGCGTAGTTGGGACGGGACCACGTTAAAGCGTCGACGGATAAAGACAAAGGCTTCCTTCCGTACTGATCAGTTGATTGACAGAGTATCGATAGCGATAGCGTAGCCATCTGCAATGATTTGTTGTTCACGCTGTGTTTCGCGATATGAGAACGAATATTAGTGGAGTACCAAAGCTTTACATATAAAAGCAATATATAGTCAGTTAACTATCAAATAATTTCAGAACGCTGGACAAAATAGGCGCCCGATCGATCTGTTTGGCACCGATTGTTTTTCGTGTGCTGTCTTTCGATTCTATGGAATCAGGATGATCTACTTGGTATGAACGAGAAAAGATAACAGCGACCGGCTTTTCATCTCATTCGATTACGCGTGTCTTCGACCATCGAAATTATAATGTGATATAATATCGTACCATGGAACACTGCTGCTGATCTCCATAGATATCGATTTGAAAAGGATGTCTCTTGGCGTATTTGTCGACAAACGGGCCTTCCTTCCCCTTCCTCCCGAGCTGTTGCATACTTTTCTAAAGGGTCTAGAGGGCAATGGAATTGGCTTTCGAATGCGGCTTTGTTCCTCGTGCCCTGACCAGCGTTATAATGACATCGAGCTGGTTGGCCTACAGGAGCAAGCAGTTAAAAAACAACAGAAAGAACTGTTTAAAAGTCGGTAATAGTGTGTCATTGTGCAATTAACGGGAAGTAGAACTCGACGAGAATAAGAAAAAGAATAAACCGTAGATCATTAACGTGGTCACTGTACAAACTGCTAACAATTTCCGTGTTTTCAATTAGCAGCATGTGGCGCTCAAGTGGTGTTTTGTATGTATGAAATTGTAGGAAAGCTGTTGTCTTGACTGGATTTTTTTCATCTGTGGCTACTTAAGGACTTTCTCTGAGTCTTCCGTGAGAAAATAATGCATATCTGATCTCTATTGCTCAGGCAGGTCCTTGTTGTTAACTGGAGCATTGTTATACTGAAGTTCTACTACACTAATTACTGCTTGGGGAAATCACGGTAGCTCATGCCACATTCGATCGGGTAATACTGGACAAAGAGGGACGCTGAGATTGGGCATTTAGATAAAGTAAAAGTGTTGACACGTGCTGCTTATAAAACCGATAAGAAACGCTTTTTCTCTGAACTCGTAATAATGTAAATAAAAAAGATGAAAATTATATAAATAACTAACTTACCTAGTTTCGACCTGTATTCACGTGAAGTGCTTTTATTGCATGCTTCTTCTATGATATTGTCATATTTCTATCTAAAACGATATTTTTGTTCTCATGATAAATATTCTTAACAAAGTATATGATTATCTTACTAAATAGCAGGTTGGGCATTAGCTTAACGTGACTAGTGAAGCGTGTACGCACGTAATTTGAGGTCACTAATGAGAACCCTGGACAAATTCTACGATAAACGCATGCTCATATTCTATAATCATCATTCTTATCATATAATAATAATAGAACAAATAGCTATGCAGTGACGTCGGTGAGCAAGCGATAAAAATGCCATAATTTTTTATGAGTGGGTGCGCGAGCGAGGGTAAGCATGACCCCTATTCTTCGATATGATCTGCGTATCATCCCACTGTAATAATCATTGATATAAAGCTCTAATAATATATCTGTGTCTATATTGATTATTTGCATTGCTGTACGCTTCTTTGTCTGAGATGCGTCGATATCTTAGACTTTAGCGACAGGTAGTGATAGGTGGGTTCGTGAGAAAGTTCAGACCCGATCCCTTTACGTAAGAGTCGGTGACGTATTTCTAACGCTCGTGCAAGTTGAGTGAGAGACCTAACCGGAGCACTAATGTCGATTATAATCACTATCCGTCAATGATACTTTTGTGAAACATTATTATCACTAGATAGCCAAACGTTTCCGCTAGACAAGTCATACGTAGTAGCAGAGCGAGTGAATAATTGAAAAACATACGCTGATCAATATATTGTTTCTCATACTAAGCTCAGCTTCAAATGATTATATGAGCTAAGAATAATAATAACATAAAACGAGCTTAGATATTCTTACTAACACACCGCTCTCAAACGTTTTATTGGCCCCTGTTGGATTTAAAAAAAAAAACAGATGCATTACACAACGTTGGAAGTGGGCTTCCACCTATTCACAAAAACGAAGGAACTAGCAGGGCAGTTAAGAGATCGAAGATAGATTTGCCAGCTTACTGGCGGTACATCAAGCTGTCTATTACTCGACTTATTTTTGGCATCTTATGAGCACCGAGCACGATTTATGTGACGCAAAATAATATCCCAACAAAACAATTCTACAGAGTAGTTAACTTGTGGTCGATGCGTGTGCTGCGTCGGCCTGCTCAGGGCAGAATCAGGACCTGCTCGTGAACTACAAACTCTACTACTGTGGATAAGTAAGAGGAAAGTAAATATGCCAGGTTACCTTTGCTAACAT